CGGGGGTGTCAAGATGCTCTCTATTTTGACCCCACTGGAAACCTATCAGCCTTCGCTGTCAGGCAAAAAGAAGTGCAGGCAATGCTCCGAGAATGCCCCAGAAATCATCGAGCAATCGCCCCCCACACCGTGTTGCGACCCTTCTTGGGGCACTCCCCCCCCCGTCGAGGGAGGCGGGCCCGACCCGAGGCTCCCTCGCTTGCAGCGGGCGCCCCCCGCGCGCGCCTCGGGGGCCGCCCGGGAGGCCCTCCCCGAGACGGGGCCGGGGCACTGCCTGGATCGGCGGGCGCCGGTGGCGCTCCGCGCGCGGGCTGGGGCCGCCGTGCAAGTGCCCGTCGTGCTCCAGCTGCGCCCTCGGAGCTGGACTTCTGTCGGGCCTGTTGACTACCTACCAGACCACCCCAACCCAACCCGAAGACCCGAATTTCGGGTTGGGGGGGGTAAGGGTTCCACGTCTGTTTGTTCGATGTTCCCCGACCCTCCCCCACTGGAAATCGAGGATAAATTTGAGCCTTCGGGTTGGGTTGGGGTGGTTTGGTGGGTGGTGACCTGTCCCCCTACAGGGGGATTTTCGACGAAAAATAAACAGTAGCCCAAGCATGCCCCAAGAAGGCCAAAAAAATACTCAAAAAATGGTCCCCAGACGATGTTTGGGCTATTCTTGGTGTATTTTTTGTTTTTGGGGTATTTTGCATGTTTCCTGGACAGGCCCGACTTAAAAATAGACTCGAGCCGCGCCGCCGGGGGTCTGCAGGCGTGCGCAGCGAGGTCCTGGCCTGCCGGCCCATTGCCGCGGCATCGCGGCCCCGCGAACCCGGCTGGCCGCAGTCCGGAGCTCGCGGGGGCTCGCGCGGAGGGGCGTCAGCAGGAGGGGCCCGCCAAGCTGGAGCACCGCCTGGCTCGCTGGCCGATTCCAGACGCCATAGGCACCAGTATTGGGACGCCACAGGTGCGCTTCAGATATCAGGCGGCACCGGTAATACAACCTTAAAGCACCCTTGGGAAGCACGACGTCTACGCGCGCAGCAGATCGCAGCCAACAGGCCTGTGCAAAGTGACTGGGCAGCTCGCAACGGCCGCCCTTCTCCTCCTGCGCCACCTCTCTCCGGAACTCTCCGCCTCCACCACCCCACCAAAGCGGCCAAATGGCAAGCGAGACGGCCATATGCGCTGAGACTGGCCAGCGCTGGTCGCCAGCAGAAAAACAAATTCGAGCCCGACGAGACGGCACCTCGCAAGGAGGTCGGGTGCAGCGCGGGACAAGCCTGGGGTCTCCTCGCTCATGATAAAAAAGAGGGCGCTTCAAACAAGCGGGCGAGAATGATGTCAACGCCCGTCATTCTCCTCCTGCACCACCTCTCTCCGCAACTCCCCCCCTCAACCTCCCCGCTGAAGCGGGTGTGCAGACGGACGGACGGAAACCACTCCAGCAGAGCTCTCCCGTCAAAGGGATGGGCTCGCAAAGCTCAAGGCGCTCAATGCAGCATGTGACAAAACCGTCGACTGCTTGCCGTCCTTCCTTGGTAGAACAATTGGGAATGTAGTTAATTGCACGGGAGCTCCGCCCCGCACCTGTCGGGGGTGGTCCACGCAATTGCTCTTGGACCGCCCCCATGGGCACTCACTCCTCCTCCTCCTCCTCCTCCTCCTCCTCCTCCTCCTCCTCCTGCTCCTCCTCCTACGATGACGATGGTGGTACGACCGGGCCCCAGACCTGAACGTGGCGCGCGGCGCCGACGGCGGCTTCAACGGCACGAGGGGCTCCGAAGCCTCCGCGGTGGCGGTGTCTCCGCGGCAGCGCCGCGCGCGAAGCGCCAGCACCGCCGCGCCCGCCCACTTCATCGGCTCGTCCACGGCCCCGCCGTCGGGCTCCGCAGCGTCGGCGGGGGCGGCGCTGCAGCCCGCCGCAGGGGGTGCCGCCTCAGGCGCGGGCCGCGGCCGCGGCCTCAAGGCGGCGCGCTCCTCGTCGGTGATCGGGGGGCGGCATCGAACGAAGCCCTCGTTGAGGACGCTGAGGGAGAAGCGCTGCGCATGGCGCATCACGGGGCGGGCGGGGGACTCCGCGAGCAAGGTCGCGCCCTGGTCGCCGCTGAAAAGACGGGCCGTGTAGCGCGCCTCCGCCATCGCGGGGAAATGCACGCAAGCGGTCCAATCTGGCGCAAGGCGTTGTCGGCTGAGCACCCCTGCTTGGAGGCTGCAGCGGAAGAGTCTTGAGCCACAGTGTCTGCGGTAGAAGCCATCGTGAAAATGACAATCTTGCGGCTGCGCCCTCAGAAGCCGAGGGAATCCAAAAGCTTGGCATGGATATGAAGCGATGCCAATCGTAGGGATCGGGAAATGTTCCGAGCTGGTCCCTGGACTTCGCGCAGCGCGCCCCGCGATACGCGGCTGCCTTCGCGCCATCGCGCCGGCCCTATTGGGACGGGCAACGTCTCTGGCCCAGAGTGCGACGCGCGAAACGCGATTGCCTTCACACCCCAACGGGAGACCCAAGGAAGGTTTGACACCGGGGGCAAGCCCCGGGGTCCAGGACCGCTTCCGCCAGGAAACCTGCGTTCTTCATGCAGGATCAGCATCGAATCGGCAAATAGGATCGCGTGGGAATCGACATCGGACTGCATCAGCTGCGCCAAACTGCACAACAACGCCATGCACACATAGGCTGGTCCACAAGAAACCTTCCATAAGAACCCCAACCCTGAGACCCCAGAACGTCCATTGATTTTTGGTGTGGGAACGTCACGCTTTCCATAGCAAAACCCAGGGCACCCTAGGGGCAAGCAGGGTGTCTCTTGGCATGGGTCTCCACTGTACTCCCCGTCCTCCTTGGTGGTCCTGGCCCTGGCCCCGGCCTCAACATGGCCGTGGCCGCGGGGTCCCGGGAGGAGACCCCAAGGTCCCAGGGCAGGTCCCGCCTTCCGGGTCGGCGGTGCTGCCGCAAGGCCTTCGCAATCGGGTGAGGATAAATCGAGCATTTCTGAGATCTGGTGGCCGTGGAAGAGCATGGATGCATCGGGCGCCGCGGCCTTCTCAGAGCGTTCCAGAGCGCTGAGAGAGCGTTCCGGAACATGGTTCGGGCGAATGTTCTAAGAACAAGAACAAATGTTCTCAGAACAGAAGCCCGATGCCTTCAAACAAGACAGGCTCCGTCAGACATGACCTAAGGACATCTCGTGGAAACCACAAAAGGTTCTTAGCACGTTCTTTGGTAGGCCTACAGGCGAGCCAGGACGCCTCGCCACTGCTTGAGAGAGAGAGAGCGCTCGCGGCCGCTGCAGGCGGGACTCCGCCGCCGGCGGGCTCGCTGGAGGGCGGCAAATGGCCTGCCTAGTCGCTCTCCGTGGTCGTCGCCGCGTGCCGCGTCGCACATTTTTGTTGCCGGCCTCTTGCGAGGGGCCCAGTGGCGACCGAGAGAGAGAGAGGGAGAGAGATGGAGTGGGCGGCGAGCCTCAGGTTGCTCCCATCGTACTTCAAGACCACATCCCAGAAATTATTTTCGAGCACCCGGGAAAGCGTCGGGAGGGTGTCACAAGAGTGTCGAAACAGTGTCGGGCGAGTGTCTCCCAGGGCCCGACACGTGAAAACCCTAGAGTTTTTGAGTACTTCTCTGGTGCTCGAAATTCTTCCTGGTGGTCAAGGCGAAAGTAAGTTGGAACATCATCAGGCGAGCCCTGAGAAGGTTTCCAAATCCCCCCGAAGACACAACAGAATCAGAAGGCCAGAAGGCGTCCGAGAAGCCCCGCCGCCTTCTGCGAAGGCCTTCTCCTGCTCACTTCGCTCCCCGAGCGCGCCGCCGCGAGAGAGAAAGAGAGAGCAAGATGGCAAAAAGAAGAAGAAGAAGAAGAAGAAGAAGAAGAAGAATAAGAAAAAGTAAACGCCGCCGCGTGGCCCATCAGCCCGCGCGCAGCATGCCGCAGGCCCAGGCACCCCGCCGCCCCAATGTCTTCGACGCGTGGGCCCTGGCAGCGTGGACCACCTCCCCAAGCAGGGCTGGCTTTTCGTCCCCAGTCCGTTCTTGACGGCCCCGAGCCCCGGCGAGGGATTCCGGAGGTCGACCGCAGTGAGAAACCTCCCGTCGTGGCGTGTGCACAGCGTGACGGGGTCCAGGCCTCCCCTCCTCAAGACGGAGACGAGACCAAAATTATGTTGGTCCCATCGTACTTACAAATTAATAATTTCGAGCGCCCGGAAAAGTGTCGAAACAGTATCGAAACAGCGTCGGACGAGTCTCCCCCAGGGCCCGAAAAATCAGAACCCTCGAGCTTCGGAATAAAAAGTTGGTGCTCGATATGATTTCTGGTGATCAAGGCTAAAATAGGTTAGAACATCATAAGACCAGGACAATATCGGACCAGGACAGCGCGGGGACCTCTGAGATCTGGCGTTAAGTCGGGCCTGTCCCTCTACAGGGGATATATTCGAAAATAATAAAAATAGTCTGGGACTATTTGTTTTAAATACGTTTGGGCATCTTTTGAACATTTGTGGGGTATAATTATTTGTCGTCCAAAATCCCCCTGTAGGGAGACAGGCCCGACCGAAAAATGGCGGCGCTGGAGGAGGTGCGGGGCGCCGCGGCCGTCCCCAGAGCGCTCCTCAATTACCAGCCTGGAACATTTCCCTATCCCTATGCTGGGCCTCTCCTCATCACGATGCCGATCTTAGGGATTCCCTTATTTTTTGAGGGCGAATCCCGATCTTAGGGATAGGGATACGTTCGAGGCTGGTAACTCAACCACAGCGCGCTGGACCGACTCCCCCGCCCGGCCTGGGGCCTGGGTCGGGCAGGCCCTCCTGCAGGCGGACTTCGGACGACAGATGAGAAACACCCGAACAGCAGAGAGGCACCCAGACGTGCGATGCCCTGACTCTTTTCAGGACGGCGTCCCTGGAAATCCCGACCCCTTCCCCGGGGCCGGTTTGCCATCCTGCGTCTTTTTGTTGACGGTCCTGGGGCCCGGCGAGGGCCTCGAGAGGCCGGAAGTGGTCAAAAACCTCCCGTCCTGCTTGTTTTACGACGCGATCCTGTCTTGGCAATCGGAGCGTCGGAGCGCGGCCCAAAGCTGGCCGCTCCAGCCTTTTCGGAGCGACGGATCTCCAGGGGCACCCACCGGGCAGCAGCTGCCGGAGCGCGGTGGCGGCGCCCGAGCCGCGCCAGGGTTATGTCGGGCGTGTGCCCCTGCAGGTGAATTTTCGACAAAAAAATCGAAATACCCCACAAATAAGAAAGACCAAAAATGGTCCCCAAACTATGTTTGAACTGTCTTTTGATTATTTCTGGGGCATTTCTGATTTTTTGGCCCAAACTCCCCCTGGTAGGGGGACAGGCCCGACTTACTGCCAGGGCCCCGTGGCGGCGCGAGGTCCGCTGGGAGAGGCCGCAGGGAGCAGGGCGCTGCGGGCGAGGCGGGCGGGCGAGTGCCCGCGGCCGGCTGCTGGCCCCGGAGGTTTGCTGCGGCAGCGAAGAGGATCTGCTGGGCCGATCTCCCGCCACCACTACCATAGGTAGGAGGAGCCGGAGGGGGAGGAGGAGGAGGAGGAGGAGGAGGAGGAGGAGGAGGAGGAGGACCTCCCCCTCCTCCCTTCTCCCCCGTCCTAAGTATGGTAGCGGTGGTGAAACAAGTGCCCCATCAGAAGTGGCCGCGCGCACAAGGCGGCAAGGGGGAGAAGGGAAGGCTTTCTAGAGTCTTAAGGAGGCTGCTTCTTGGAAGGCGCATATCTTTCATCTACAGACAAGGCTCACGCCTTCCAAGAAGCAGGGGTGCTTCTACGAAGTCTCCCCCCTCCCCTACACCCCTCAGCGCGAGGCTGAGAGAAGTGAGCGCGCGCTTCACCAGCCATGCTAAGCCCAACGGCAGAAGCAAATAAGGAGACACGTTCTGGCCTGCGGCAACCTTGTCATCGCTCCCAAAATCATCCGACACAGGTTATTTTCGGTGGCGATTTAGACGCACGTCGATTATCGGCCGCCACTGGATACCAGATTATCGGTAGCAAGGAAACGAATTTCGGAATCCAACGCTGAAGTTGTAGCGGGAAAACAATTCGGTAACGGGAAACGGAAATCGGTAAGGGGGGAAACGAGAATCGGAAACGCGAACATCATCACCATCAGTATCACCACAACCACCACGATCATCACCATCATCATCACCATCACCATCACCATCACCATCATCATCATCATCATCATCCTCATCATCACAATCACCACCACCATCACCATCATAAGCATCATCAACCACATCATACTCATCATCGTCATCAATGTCATTATCACCGTCATCATCGCCATCACTAGCATCACCATCATCACCACCACCCCCATCATCAGCAGCAGCATCACCACCAACATCTGCAAACATACCATAAGCATTTACAGCATGTCGCTGGTGCCACGGTCATAACGAGTGCCATAAGTAGTGTCACAACATGTCAAAATCAAGAGTTACACATACTCGGATGTGATCGTGTTACATTGTTATCGCTTACATGTCTACACTCATGGATAATATATGTGCCACTCATCGTCGACAAGTTTCATTACGTTTCCGAACGTTTACTGACGTCAGGCGAACGTCAGGCAAACGTCAGAAAACGTACGGCACACGTCAGGAAACGTCAAGGAATGTCAGACCAGAACATGCAGCGCAGGTGGCATCGTCATCACCATCACCGTCACCACCACCACCACCATCAACATCAACATCACCATCACCATCACCATCACCATCACCATCACCATCACCATCACCATCACCATCACCATCACCATCACCATCATCATCATCATCATCATCATCATCATCATCATCATCATCATCATAACGATCATCATCACCACCACCGTCATGATAATCAGCACGACCATCAACGATAGCATCATCAGCAGAGCAATCATCCCTGATACCATCATCGCGGTCGTCAGTGCCATCAGCGTCATCATCTGACTCAATGGCATCAGAATACGACTCGCTCAAATTTGGTAGCGCTGAAGCCAATTTCGGTTGCGCGCTACCTGTTTTCAAACGCAATCAAAATCGTGCGTGCAATGCGCTCGCTACCGGTGTTGAGCGTTCATTTTCTGCATTTCGGACGCGACCGGATCCTGCGAAGCGCTACTGGCTAAAACCGGTATCGGATGATCTGGGTCGGACGTCCATTCCCTGTGCGTTGTTCGGTTTCGTGCGTGTTTTCTTTTCGCAGGATGATCCAAGATGCTTCTCGATGGTTTTCGCCGAGAAACTTGTGCGGTCAAAAACTTGAATAGCGATGGAGTCTAGCACGCGAAAAACCCTTGGGGGAGACGCTTGCGGGGACGCTGGAACGCATGCCTGGGGAGCTTGCAGGCTCCGAACAGCTTCGAAGGAGTTTCGAGGGAGTTGCGAAGGATCTGCGGAAAGGCTTCAGGCACGCGTGTTGGGAACGAGTAGGAAAACAATCCTGGAACACGCTGCAAATTCAAGCAAGGCTCTGCGAGGATGCCTGCCAGGGATCCTTGGAGAGGAGCTTGCGTAGCCCTGCCTGCCGGCTTCTCATCTCAAACCCGCTTAGCTCTCAGAGAGCTATTCGGGAGATAGGCCCCAAGAGGCAAACATAATTGATTTCCCAAGGTTTTTTTAAGATGTTGGCCTTCTCGCCTTTTCGGCTTCCCGACGCTCCAAAACGGCCCAAGAGGCCCCCAAAACCAACCCAACACGGCAAAAGAGGCCTCCAAGAGGCTGCAAGACGGCCGAAGACCGCCCCCGAGAGGCGCCCAAAACGGCCCCAGAGGGCGCCCAAACGGCCCAAAGGTGTTTCAAGATGGGCAAAACGAACCGAGCATCCCAGCCTTCTGCCCCAAGAAGCCCCCAGGAGGCCCGAAGAGGCGCACAGGAAACCCCAAGCGGCCCGCGAGAGGCCCCCAAGAGGCCGCCGGGAGGCCCCAACGCGGCCCCCAAGAGGCCTCCAAACTGCCTCCAAGAGGCCCTCGAAATGCCTCCCACGAGATCCCAACGATTATTCAATAGGCTTCATGCGCACCCACAACCCAGGCAAGGATGTATGCATGTACGGATGTCTGTCTGCCTGTGTGTCTGTCTGTCTGTCTGTCTGTCCGTCTGCTTGACTGTCTGTCTGTCTGTATGTATATGCACGTGCGGATGCATGTATGGTGTGGTATGGTATGGCAAGACATGGTAATGGCAATGGCACTGGCACTGGTACTGGTGCTGTTGATGGTGATGGTGATGGTGATGGTGATGGTGATGGTAATGGTAATGGTAATGGTAATGGTAATGGTAATGGTAATGGTAATGGTAATGGTAATGGTAATGGTAATGGTAATGGTAATGGTAATGGTAATGGTAATGGCAATGGTAATGGTTGGGGTAGGGTAAGGGTAAGGGTAAGGGTAAGGGTAAGGGTAAGGGTAAGGGTAAGGGTAAGGGTAAGGGTAAGGGTAAGGGTACGGGTAATGGTAATAGCAATGGTAATGGTAATGGTAACGGTAACGGTAATGGTAATCGTAATGGTACTAGTAATGGTAATGGTAATGGTAATGGTAGATGGCAAATGGTAATTGTCATGGTAATAGTAATGGTAATAATAATGGCAATGGCAAGTGTAAAGATCATGGTGCTGGTACCGGTACTGGCGCAGGTATGTTATGTATGCAATTAAGCATCTATGCGTACACATGCTTGAATATGTGGTTGAGACTACACACATCGGTGGATATGTATATTCATATCTACTAGAACCACACGCGCGCGCGCTACGCGCGCGCTTAGGTTTATGTCGCAGGTGAGGCACGGGTGCCGCTGCACGCGCCGGTGCGGTCACGACGACGATTTTTCTTGGCGGGGCCTGTCTGGCACTTTGGCGCCGCCGTCCCAGGAGCGGGAGGAGCACGGAAGCGGAGGGGCGAGGGGGGGAAAGAGGAGAGAGGAGGGAATGTATTCCGAATCCCTTATTAATCCTCCCCCGGGTCTGGTTTTTCAAGGCGCCTTTTTTGGTAACTGGGGGGGTCCGGTTTATTAGGGCGCTTTCTTCGGATTGGAGCTTAAGGGGTTCGGTGTATTAAGGCTCCCCGTCGAAGAGGGGGGTCCGGAATAGAAAGTCGCATTTGGAGGAGGGTCTGGTTTTTTAGGGGGGGGTCGATTAATAAGAGATTCGGAGTAGGCAAGGGGAGGGGGCGGGAAGGAGGGACGGAGGGGGGAGGCCTGGGCCATCTGAGCCGTCTTGGGGTGCTCGGGGGCCTCCCGCGCCCGCTCTGTGGCCCAGCGTGGGCCCGTCCTGGTGTTCTCTCGGGCCGTCTGGGGCTCCTCCCGGACTGTTCTCGTGCTCCCTGGGGGCCGTCTTGGGGCCCTTTGGGGTGCCTCTTCGGCGGTCTTGGGGCGGTCTTTGGGGCGCCTTTTGCCGTCTTCGAGCATTGGAAGCTCGAGAACGCGGGGAAGCGAAAAACATCGAACAAACCAATGCATATCAATGATGGGCCTCTTTTGGCTCTCTCGGGGCGTCTCTCGGAGCTGTCTGGAGCCCTCTTGGAGCCCTCTTGGCCTCTTGGGCCTCCCGCTGCCGCTCTGTGGCCCAGCTTGGGCCTGTCCTGGGGCACTCTTTTTTCAACCATCGCGGTTAAACATGCCCTGTATACATCGCAGTTCGCGGAGCAATGTGTCAGCACCTGCTCCGCACAGTCAATGGGGCAAGTGCAATCACGCAGCCGCTGCAACAGCGCTACATGCGGTAACTAATCATTGCATGGGGGGGCCCAACAAACCATTAAGGTCTCGGAGATCGCCCCCCCCCCCCCCCCCCGAAAATGCTGATAATATGACTTCAAAGATTGGCTCGTGGCACAAAACGCATAAATGAAGGAGCTAGGGACATGGAGGCAGATGACCTTGCACACCTCGGAATCAAAACAAGCTAGTCGTGCTCTCAGGACCGAGAAATGGAGGCCACACAGAACCACAACATGAACCATGGTGCAACACTTGCTGTCGCGAACGACGCAGAAGGATCAGGATCATCGCCATCGCTGCCGTAGACTGCCGTGCAACAATAATCTTCGGTGGCCGTTTCGGTGTTGCTTTGCGGCACATTGTCAAAATAGTCGGAGTCGAAGCCAAAATTGGGCGCAGCTTCCGAGTAGTGGCAGACGTAGACGGGAGCCGGACTACCACTCGCGCACGCATTCACCGCGCAGCCGAGCTTCGTCGTAGCCGCCCAGATCAAAGCCGTGTAGTGCCCCGTGCCTGAAGGCGGCTGGTTCGCGGTGCCTGGCGTGTAGCCTGGGTTGGTGATCTCGCTGTACCACGCCTCGACCGCAGCCTCAATTGACTGATAGCCAGCAGCGACGTTCTCGCCACACGATGGGTCCAAATCGTATGCGCTCGTGCCATCTGGCCGGATGTGCGCACTATTGCTGCCCTGGCTCGGACACGTGTCAGACCATGTTGCTGCACTTGCAGCAGTGGTGCTGTCCCAGGCCAACAAATTCTGCCCATGCCGGCACCGGAAATAATTGTGAGCCTTCAAGAACCTGTCGTCCTCTGTCAAACTCGTCAATTTGAAACCGTAGTTGCAATCATTGCATGTGCACGTTTTGCCGCCACTGCCCCAGCCCGTGCCCCACGACATACAACTACTTGGACAAGAGTCCGTGCTCGCGCAACATCCATTGGAGCCGACGTCGCTTCCGTCATCACAGACGAAAGAGTCAGTGTATAGCATTGACTGACAGAACGTGGCGGACACAGTAGCGACCCTACCAGCAGCTAAGACAATGAGACACACACGAGCTGCGCCCATTGCTGCCAGACTCTGCCCCGAATTTTCCCAGTCGTTGCGATGTGTTCACTGGCTTGAGACCAAATGTCTACGGACCTGTCCTGGGGCTCTCTTGGGCAGTCTTGGGCTGTTCTTGGGCAGTCTTCAGGCTCTTCTGGGCCGTCTTGGAGCTCTTTTTGGAGCCTCTTCGGCGATCTCGGGGATATCTTGGGGGCGTCTTTGGCCGTGTTCGAGCGCTGGAAGCTCGAGAACGCGGGAAAGCGAACACACATTCGAAAAACACAACCGGAAATCAAGGATACGGGCCTCTTCGGGCTCTCCCGTTACGCCTCTCGGAGCTCCCCTGGGGCCTCTTGGAGGGCTCCTCGGCTGTGTATTGGCAGTGTTGGGCCCATCTGGGGCCACGTTGGGGCCATCAGGTCCGACTTGGAGCGCCTTGGGGCCTCCCGCTTTCGCTCCGGGGCCCACCTTATGCCTGTCATGGGGCTTTCTTGGGCCTCACTGAGGCTCGTCCTGGGCGATTTTCGGGCTCCCTGGGGCAGTCTTGGGGCTCTGTTGGAGGCCTCTTCGGCAGTCTTGGAGCGGTCTTGGGGGCGTCCTCGGCCGCCTTCGAGCGTCGGAAGGTCGAAAACGCGAGACACCGGAACACACTGCAGCAAGAACGCATGAAAATCAAAGATTTGGGCCTCTTCGGGCTCTCTCGGGACGCCTCTCGGAGGTGCCTTGAGGCCTCTCGGAGGCCTCTTGGGCTGTGCACTTCCGGTCCGGAACCCATCTGGGGCCACGTTGGGGCCATCTGGGCTGTCTTGGAGGGGCTTGTCGAAGTCCCCCGACCCAGAGATCCGACGTCGTGATTTCTTCAAGACGGCGACCCCAGAAGTCTCGACCCACTCCCCAGGACAGGTTCCTCATCCTCAGTCGTTCTTTGACGGCCCCGAGGCCCGGCGAGGGCCCCTGGGTGCCGAAACATGCGAAAAACCTCCGTCTTAATTCTTTCAATGCGTTGGATCTCTGGGGAGGGGCTTCTGGGAGCGCCTCGGACCTCCCGGGGGCAGTCTGCAGGGCTCCGCGGCCTCTCCAGGGGTGCTCCGGGAGCGGTCTGGGAAGCCCCGGTCCTCAGAAGGCCCCCCGAGCGACCGGGCCCCGGGGCGCCCGGGCCTCGTGTGAGGTCGGGCCTGTCTCCCTACACGGGGATTCAGGCGCGAAAGTGAGACAACAAATGCACGAAAATACAAAAAATGATCGAAGATCGTCCCCAGACTATTCTTTCGTTATTTTTGGATCTTCCTTCTGCGGAGGGACAGGCCCGACTTCAGCCTCGTGCGCGGGTCTTGGACCGTTGGAGGCTCGAAAACGCGAACAGGCAAAAATACATAAGAAAAAAAGTTAAAAACAGCGATCTTGGCCTCTTTGGGCTTTCCCAGGGTGCCTCTCGGACCTCTCTTGGGGCCTTTTGGAGGCCTCCTGGGAGCGTAGAGGGCCATCCACAGGATGTTTTGGGCTGCTTGGGAGCGTCTTGGGCCGTTCTTGACGTTCTGGGAGCTTCTTGGGGTCGTCATGTGCTGTCCTTCGGCGTCTTGGGGTCTCCCCAAGAAGCCGGGAGGCGCGGTACAGGCCAGATGTCAGGGGATGTGTAGGACCCCCGAGTAGGAGTTCCACTTTTTTTTTGTTTAAAAAAAAGGGAATGCGTGGAATTCCCTATTTTGTTCTGTCAAAATCCTCGATCCTTGAGGTTTGGAAGCGGGAAAACGTGAGAAGGCGAAAAACATTGAAAAAAAACATTGGAAATCAACGATCTTACCCTCGTTGGGCTCTCTCGCGACGGCTGTCGCAGCTCTCTTTGGCTGTTCTTGGAGCCTCGTCGGGGCCTTTTCGGGGCCTCTCAAAAATCGGGGGTGTGTTGAGGGTCTCTGGGTGGTCCCGGAGGCCTCTCGGAGATCTCTGGAAGCCTCCTGCTCCCGCTCTTTGGCCCATCTTGAGCCTGTTCTGGGGTTGTCTGGGTCTGTCCTGGGCGCCTCTTCGGCAGTCTTGGAGCCTTCTGGGCCCGTCTTGAGGCCGTCCTGAGGGTCTCTTGGGTGGTCTTGGGGCGGTCTTGGGGGCCTCTGCAGCGCTCTTGGACCATTGGAAGCTCGAAAACGCGAGAAGCCAACTAACATTTTTGAAAAACCATGAAATTCTACGATTTTGGCCTCTTCGGGCCGTCCGGGGACGCCTCTCGGACCTCGTGGGGTCTCTTGGAGGCCACCTGGGAGCCTCGAGAGCCGTCGGAAGGCTGACTTGGGCTGCTTGGGAGCGTCTTGGACAATCCTTTCGCATTCTGGGGGCTCCTGGGAGGCGTCCTGGGATATACACACATACACACATAGAATATGTTGCGACCCTCTTTCAAAACTTTTTATTTTCAGGGAGGGCTACCCTCACGCTCCCCTCCACGAGGTTCTTTCGGCGGGGGCCGCGATGTGCCAGACGGTCCATTTTCGCCCAAGATGGTTCCAGGAGAGCCCCCGGTGCTCCAAGATGGCCTCCAAGGCGGCTCAAAATATCCGAAGATGGTTCAAGATCGCTCCGGACATAGCTCCCAGAGGCCCGACAAAGGCCACAGACGGTTCCAAGTGCTCCCGGAGCCCCCCCAGGACCCCCCCAACAGGCCAACATCCTTTAAGCACCGTAAGAAATCAGCGGAGTGTGCCTTCTCGCCATTTCGCACCCGATGCGCGTTTGAAGCCGCAAGGTGGCCCCGAAAGGGCCCAATAGAACCCCAAGACGGGCCCAAGAGACGGACCCAAGAACGCACATAATCGGGCCAAGAGTCTCCACGAGACGATGTTGATGGCACCAAAGGGGGGGGGGGAAGGGGAGGGGGCACATTCAGGACCCCCCCCCCTCCTTTGACCAATAGCCTTCACATAGGCCTCAAGAGGCCCTCCAAGGCTCCCTCCAAAGAGGGCCCCACGAGGGCCCAAGAGGGCCCAAAGTCAGCCCCACAACGGCCTCAAGAGTGCCCCACAAAGGCCCAAAGAGGCGGTTTGTTACCTAGTCCTCCTCCTCCTCCTACTCCTCCTCCTCCTTTTCCTCCTCCCCTCAACTCCGCGCGGGCCCCGGGCATTGCCCGAAGAGGCCCTCATAGGCCATCCTCTTGCTCTCAGAAATCACGATACATGGCCCTTCGACCCTTTTTCCCCGTCAGCTCTCATAGTCAGGGTGTCTGAACGGGCTGGCGGTGATACGCGAAAGGTGAACACTCCCACCAGCCCGTTGGGCGATAGGTGGTCTAAGGATGATCGGTCGTTCTTCCACAACCCCTCTTCCCTTCCTTTCGGGGAAGGGAACCCTCCCCCTACCCACCTCTTTTCTTATATATATATATATATATATATATATATATATATTATATATATATAATATATATATATAATATAAAGGCGGACCGATGTGCAAGAGTTGTTTCTTTCTCCGGCCGGTTGGAGGGTCAATGTTTGACAACCCTCTCGAGGATCGTGGCCCCCGAGGGGGGGGCAGACATCGAAGACCCCGCCTCTTTTGACGGACCCCCTTCAAGATGGCACCAAGAGGCCGCCCATGGCTCCCAGTCGGCCCCCAAGAGAGCTCCCATAGCGCCCCAAGAAGCCCCAAGAGGCTTCAAGTATGCACCCGGGAGACAACCAAGAGGCCCCCGAGCGGCCTCAGAGAGACCAATAGGACCTCCCAAATCGCTCAAGATAGCCCAAGTTGGCCCAAGATGGCCCCCAAGATGCTCAAGAGGCCCCCAAACCGCTTCATGACGGCTCGAAATGGCCACGGAATCGCCCCAGGAAGCCGCCAAGAAACCCAACTCATTGAAAGCCTGAAAAAAAAACTCAATGAAGTGGCCTTCTCGATGTTGTTTTCAATGGCCTTCCGAGGCTTCAAGATTTCTGTAAGATTGCCACGAAAGAGGCCCAAATAGAGCCCCAGGACGGTTCCCCAAACGCCCAAGAACGCTCCAAAATCGCTCCAAGAGGGGCGAAAAAACGATTTTATGGGACTCCCGAAGGGGGGAACGGTCATTGAAATGCCCCCTAGCCCCAAAAGAAACCCCGAGGCTCCCAGGATGGCATCAAGAGGGCCCCAAGAGCGCCCCGAAACGGCTCCGAGTGGCCACGAAGGTTCCCCGGGAGGCTTCCAAGAGGCCCACCTCCTCCCAAACCCCATTGCAAATCCATGAGCTCGGTCGTCTCGCCTCTGTGCCCTCGATGGCCTTCCCGGGCCTCAAGATGGCTCCGAAAGGGAGGGCACCGGGGAACCCCTAGACATGGTCCCGTGACGCAGTGCAGGCCAGACCCCCTCGCTGTTCGACTATGCGTCTCTATTCCTCTCCCCTCACGTCAGCTCTCACGGACATCAATTATAGATGGGCTAGTGGGGATACTTTTGGTCCGCGGGCGCGCGAAACGAGTCGAACGCCAAGCCTGCTACGGCGGGCCGCTCTGGTAGCAAAGAGAAAAACAATGAACGACGGTGCGCTAGAGGCCGCGATACCGACCAGGCGGTCAGCAGCAGAAGAACGCGCCGAACACGAAAACCAAAAACACGAGCGTGGCGAACACAGACTGCCCGAAGAGCATAAAAGCAAACGCGTAGTGAAGAGGTTACTGATGAGACGAACTTCATTCAGTACGAGAAGAAGACGCAGCCAAAATGGAACGGAGGCCCAGGTGGCCGAGGAGAAGGCGGCGCGGCCGATCATGAAAAACCCGACAAGTGTGACCCATTAGCCATGTCCGAGCGACCTTGCCGTACAGGTAGACCTTCAGGTGTCAACCACCAAACCCCGAGCGCGACCCAGCCGCTGGAGCACCGGGCCAGGCAAGGAAAAACGACCACAATTGAGAGCCCAGGCGGACCCGACTACAAGGACTCTTGTCGCACAGGTAGGACTCCAGAGCCGTGGGATGATACCTTGCGATTGACGTGCGCGGGCCCGAAGGCGATGGAGGAACCAGGCGACCGTGTGGCGGCGAAATTCGCCGGCCCAACGGGCCAGAGGCGTGCTAAGATCTCCGGAAACTTGTTAACAATATTTCTAGTTCGCGCGCGCGGAGCGGCCCCTGGGGACC